GCACTGGACGCTTTGCTGCCCACTGTGAAATCTTTCAGAGCTGCGGGCAAGTCTCCATCACGAAGCAGCCTGTCTGAGGAGCTGCCGGCACCCGGCCTGGCAGGGTCACACCTCTCCAGTATTACCACTGTACTGGGCTGCCAGGCAGAAAAGATTAAATGAACCACCATTACGTCTAATTAGAAACACCAAAGGAAGAAAAAGCTCTTGAACGCAGAGTCTGAAATGTCAAACATGAACAGGTCCCTCTCCATGCGAGATGGAATCTAATTAGAGTATTGACTAACCAAGCTGCACGTTTCCTGCTGCAGAATAACTCCCTCAATATGGTGGGGGTGTGAGGAAGTCTTGCTGTAAGCATCAGAGATTAAGAGGAGGAGAAAGACCCATCTAGTGAAACTCAAGACAACGTTACAAACTCAGACTTACTTACGGCAAGACCCTGACTTCTTTCAAGAAACAGCTGGGATCCCTGGATCATTAAACTACTTGCTAACAAATGGGTCAGACTGACCTCTCCTTATTTGTAACCGTTATTATCTTCTCGAGGATACGTGTTTTGCTGTCCATTTCTAACCTTTATTCAGCACAGCTGAGGAAATCTCGCGATACCTATCCGCATGCCGACGGGACACTGCCTGGAACAGGATTACAGGAATTACCTATGGTCGCTGGGAGTGTTACACTGGGCCGACTGAGTGGGATGTGGTCTGGAGGAATAAAAGTTGCCAGCAGATGTGAAACAAGGGTCTTATGTTCTTAAGGTCAAGAACACTTTACCAACAACAGCCAACAGCTTCAAAGCCTTTGTTCCCAAGTGGTGTTCTGACAGGGCTAATCTGAATCCCAGAAAAAACACCCTCAATAAACACCCCAACTAACCGCGAATAACACAGCTCTCCCTGCAACAGCTGGGACAAAGTGCAGGGCCACACAGAGAAAGGAGGATAAAGACAAGTCTGAACCAGGAAACTCAGGCAGGCCACATTTCCCTGAGCTCATGCCTGCGTCCCTGACTTCAGGATTTGAACCCTCCACACAAGCCTGCCGTTTCCTGCTCGCTGCCAGAGACGTCCCTTGAAGCACTACAGGACACACTTCTCCTCCAGGGCTGCGGAGCGCAGGGACTCGCTCTTGGATTGTGTGTCATTATCCGAGACCCCAGAGAGCCCCGCTGGCACTGCCAGCTTCAGCACCCCCCCTGGAGGACTCGACCGGTCCGGGGAGCAAGCTGTTCAATCGACAGCAGCTCCATGCCCCAGTCCGGGTGACGCAGGCCTGCGGGTTTACCTTCCAGGCTTAACAATCACAGCCATGTGAACTGTTTGCTGCCAGCTCTAAAACATGTTAAGAGCTTGAACTCGTTGTATTTTGTGAGTGCAATAAAATCCAACACTTGTGACTAGAAACAAAATGCAAATATCGCAATGAGGCAGCATCTTAAGCTGGAGTCACACTGCAGGACTCCGCACGGCTTCTAGTCGGAGAGCACGTCAAATTGAACGACTGCAGTTGCTGAATCCCGCTGCCTTTTCTGTCCTAGAGGCGGTCAAATGAGATGACTAGAAATCGCAGGGGGTGACTCATTACACGCCGGGCAGCAGGACAGACAGCAGGCAGCGGTCCCGAGTGCACTGCTGGACTTCAGGAGAGGGCAGCTCCTTCAACGCCTGCACTTCCTACCGGGGGGAAAACCCAGGACGCCCCGCGCCTCTCTGGGCGCCGCTCCGCAGAAGCCCTTATCTGCTCCGATTCCGGCTCCATTCCCAGCCTCCGGCGGTCTGGTCACAGGCTCTGTGACTCAGCAGCTCCCTTCCTCCCCCTGCCCGGGCCACGCCGGGGCGCTCTGCGTGGGACAGGTCAACGGGAGAACAACGCCATGACGGCCAGCACTGGGACCTACGAGTGTCTCCGTTTCCGTAGCAACAGGCACCTGTCCCGTGGGAACTGCAACACTGCTCTCTCATCCCATCCAGTCCACAGGGCTGAGCCCAGGACAGCGAGCTGACACAGGCTGGGCAGGCTCGGCTCCCACACGACTGCTGCTCAGCGGTACGGCTCAGTAAAAGGTCCTCTTACATGCCTGCTTAACAAGTCATCCATCTCGTCTCCTTAGTGTCTCGCCATCACACACACACACACGCTGCAGTTTATTTTTAAAACACAACTACGTGGAAAACAAGAAGAGCCCGTGGTCAACAGGAGGCACCAGAGCCCAGAGCTCAGAAAGTCAGCCTCCCCGCCGGTCAAGGCTTAGCCAGGCTCATCCCGCACACGCAGTCGGCTCGCCCGTGGGTGCCCGCCTGCACGGGGGGACACGCCTGCTGCAGCTGGGGTCACGGGAGAAAGCGACCAGGGGGACCTCTCCCACGGACACCACGGCCAGAAGGCGCCCCCCGTCCCCCAGGACGAAGAGAAGTCACCTTTACGCGCAGCCAGGCGTGAAAAAGACCGAGCGCCGGCACGGCCGCCTCCCCTGCACCGGGGCTGCCCACGCAGCACGGCTGTGGACTGTGCCCGGGTGGACCGCAAACGAGGACTGCTTTTGTGTGCGCCCGTGGGGGGATCACAACAAGAGAAAAAACACAACAAGATTTTCAGGGGGCACTGTGTGATCGCAGATAACGCCGGAGCCCAGCCCCACGCACGCACACACACACACAGACACACAAACACACACACAGGGGCGAGCGGAAAATGTGGACGAAACCCCCAAATGGAGAAGCGCCACCTCCGGTCTTGTCACACGCAGCCCCGGCCCGGTGACCCCACCGCACTCCGCCTCGCTACCGTCAGGGGTCCGAGGCGCGGACACTGTCACGGACCACTACACGCCACGAAGACGACGGCACCCCACGCACACCCCGGGGACCGCGGGGGTGAATCACGCCGCACAGGCTCGGCCTGCTCACGCCGCCCGGACCCCTGACCTGGAGAGATGTTTGAGGATCTGTTTTTTGATGAGTCCCGCCATGACCGCCTCCCCTTCGGCGACGCGTCCCGGCGATTAATTCTTTTTTTTTTTTCTTTTTACAAGGTGAGCTCCGCGGCCGGTGTCATCGCTGAGACAGGGCTCGCCGACTCCTATTCCTCCCTCGGAGAGAGAGAGAGGAAAAAAAAAACACCAACAACAACAACAACTAAAAAAAAAAGAAGAAGAAGAAGAAGAAATCCGCTCCCGTCCTTCCCTGGCAGCGCGTCCTTACTGACGGCACGACACCCGCCGCCGCTCTCCGTGAGGCCCCATCCCTCCTCCCCGCTGCTACACCGCCACCTGGGCACCGGGCCTGCGCCGCAGACGCGTCCC